TAGATGTTCAAAGGCTTGCTAGCAATGAGATGGACTTCCATCATGGAAAAGGCTGGATGAAAACTTTTTGTTTTGTCTTGTTTGTTTTTTTGAGACAGAGTTTCACTCTTATTGCCCAGGCTAGAGTGCAGTGGCATGATCCCCACTCACTGCAACCTCTTACTCCTGGGTTTAAGCAATTCTCCTGCCCCAGCCTCCTGAGTATCTGCGATTACAGGCACCAGCCACCATACCTGGCTAATTTTTAAATTTTTAGTAGAGATGGGGTTTCAACATGTTCGCCAGGCTGGTCTCAAACTTCTGATCTTAGGTGATCCACCCACCATGGCCTCCCAAAGTGCTGGGATTATAGGCGTGAACCTGGCTGCGAAGAATTTTTTAAAAGCATGTTCAGTAGAGAAAATTAAGGGTTTGGCCAAGCAGCCCTTTTAAAAAAGATTAATATGGGTAGAAGGAAGCCAGGTTTTATTCGCAAAGACAATGGGAAAACAACCCGAAAGGCATTTCAGCGATCTCTGAGGTAAGCTAGGACCTTGAGGGCAAGGTTTTCAGAGAGGTGCAGGTGAGGACTCCCTCCCCAGATTACAAGCTCAGCTGCCCTAGCCATGGCTCAAGTGGGCCTACCAGCCCACGGGCTTGACCTGTCACTCCAGAAAGTGCAAGCTATAGATCGTTGTTTTTTTTTTTTTTTTGAGATAGAGTTTCGCTCTTGTTACCCAGGCTGGAGTGCAATGGCGCGATCTCGGCTCACCGCAACCTCCGCCTCCCGGATTCAGACAATTCTCCTGCCTCAGTCTCCTGAGTAGCTAGGATTACAGGCACGTGCCACCATGCCCAGTTAATTTTTTGTATTTTTAGTAGAGACGGGGTTTCACCATGTTGACCAGGATGGTCTCGATCTCTTGACCTCGTGATCCACCCGCCTCGGCCTCCCAAAGTGCTGGGATTACAGGCTTGAGCCACCGCGCCCGGCCTATAGATCGGTTTTATACACACACACACACACACACACATAAATCAAATTGTACCCTATAAATATGTACTAGATATGTATTGAAACATCCAATTGCATCCTATAAATATGTACAATTATAATATACAATTTGTCCCATTTGTTTAGATACAATGTGTCAATTAAAAAGATAATTAAGGCCGGGCGCGGTGGCTCAAGCCTGTAATCCCAGCACTTTGGGAGGCTGAGGCGGGTGGATCACAAGGTCAAGAGATCGAGACCATCCTGGTCAACATGGTGAAACCCGGTCTCTACTAAAAATACAAAAAATTAGCTGGGCATGGTGGCGCGTGCCTGTAATCCCAGCTACTCAGGAGGCTGAGACAGGAGAATTGCCTGAACCCAGGAGGCGGAGGTTGCGGTGAGCCGAGATCGCGCCATTGCACTCCAGCCTGGGTAACAAGAGCGAAACTCCATCTCAAAAAAAAAAAAAAAAAAAAAAAAAAGGATAATTAAAAAGAAAGTACAAGCCGTGAACCTAGGCAGCATCCATGTGATTCCAATTCTACAGGTGCACAGAACACAAGTGCCGTGGTGCCTTGGCTCCACCTAGATCTCCAAGCGTGTTGTAGACAGTCTGGGGACCCAGGAAGAGATTTGTCACAGGGGCAGGGCCATTGCAGAGTTCTCACTAGGGAAATGCCTAGTGCAGTCATGAGAGTGGGGCAGTTCTTGAGGCCACAAACTGTGAGGCCGCCATGTGCAACTCCAGCGTGGGAAAGCTGCAGGCATGATTCCAGCCCATGAGAGATGCTGGGTAGACTCAGCCTAGTTGCCTGAGGCATTGGGGGCTCAATTCCCACCCCAGTTGTGCCCAGGGTGTGGAACATGCAATCAAAGAGGATTATTGTAGTATCTTTTTTTTTTTTTTTTTTTTTTTTTTTTTGAGATGGTCTTGCTCTGTTGCCAGGCTGGAGTGCAGTGGCGTGATCTTGGCTTACTGCAACCTCCACCTCCTGGGTTCAAGTGATTCTCTTGCCTTGGCCTAACAAACAGCTGGGACTATAGGCGTCTGCCACCACGCCCAGCTAATTTTCGTATTCTTGGTAGAGACGGTGTTTCACCATATTGTCCAGGATAGTCTCTATCTTTTGACCTCATGATCCACCCACCTCAGCTTCTCAAAGTGCTGGGATTACAGGCGTAAGCCACTCTGCACCGCCTATTTTAAGATTTAATATTGTTTTCCCTCTTGGGTTTTAGAATCACTTGGGACCAGTTCTCTCTCTTCTTCCCATTGGAATGGGAATGTCTATTTGATGCCTGTCCTGCAATTGTATCCTGGAAGCAGATAAAACAGGATTACAGCTGGAGGGAAATTTACTTCAGGATGAATTGTGCCTGGATCCTCACCCGTATCTGTTTTAGATGAGTCTGGAATTTGGGCTTTTAAGTTTATACTGAAACAAGTTGAAACTTTTGGGCTACTGGGATAGAATGAATGTATTTTGCATGGGAGAAGGACATGAATTTTGGGGGCCAGGGACAGAATGATTGGAATGTGTCCCCTGAAGTTCATGTGTTGGAAACTTAATCCCCAATGCAACAGTGTTCAAAAGTGAGACTTTTAAGAGAAGATTAGATTATAAGAGCCCTGACCTCATGAATGAATTCATGTCATTATGGTAGGTATACATACATTATTGTGACAGTAGGTTTGTTACAAAAGTGAGTTTGGCCAACCTCACTCTCACCATGTGATGCCTTCTCCCAGGTAATGAATGACACAGCAAGAAGGTTGTCAGCAGGTGCAGACCCCTTGACCTTGTAGTTCCTGGCCTCAATCACTGTTAAGAAATAAATCTCGGGCTGGGCACGGTGGCTCAAGCCTGTAATCCCAGCGCTTTGGGAGGCCGAGGCGGGTGGATCATGAGGTCGAGAGATCGAGACCATCCTGGTCAACATGGTGAAACCCTGTCTCTACTAAAAATACAAAAAACTAGCTGGGCATGGTGGCGTGTGCCTGTAATCCCAGCTACTTAGGAGGCTGAGGCAGGAGAATTGCCTGAACCCAGGAGGTGGAGGTTGCGGTGAGCCGAGATCGCGCCATTGCACTCCAGCCTGGGTAACAAGAGCAAAACTCCGTCTCAAAATAAATAAATAAATAAATAAATAAATCTCTGTTCTTTTATAAAGTACCTAGTGTTACATAGTCCATTATAGCAGCACAAAGTGTACTAGCCGCATTGTGTTAAATATGCATATACTACTACCCCACTGATACAGCATCATTTGTTCTCTATGTCACTGCCAAGCCCCATGATAGTTACCTTAAGTGTGAAAACATGTGCTCCTCCTCATAGGAGTAGGTTCCAAATGTTGCTTCTGAGAGTCAGGAATACATTTTGGAAAAAAATAGAGAGACAAAAATTGATAATGCTTTGTGTTTATTGGTGATGCCCATCTTCTTTGAAGATTAAGAAATGACACTGATGCCGGGCGTGGTGGCTCAAGCCTGTAATCCCAGCACTTTGGGAGGCCGAGGCGGGTGGATCACGAGGTCGAGAGATCGAGACCATCCTGGTCAACATGGTGAAACCCCGTCTCTACTAAAGATACAAAAAATTAGCTGGGCATGGTGGCGTGTGCCTGTAATCCCAGCTACTCAGGAGGCTGAGGCAGGAGAATTGCCTGAGCCCAGGAGGCGGAGGTTGCGGTGAGCCGAGATCGCGCCATTGCACTCCAGCCTGGGTAACAAGAGCGAAACTCCGTCTCAAAAAAAAAAAAAAAAAAAAAAAAAAAAGAAATGACACTGATGTACAAATGACTCACCATGTGACCCTCACCTGACTCTACTCTCGAAGGGCTGTAATAAATCCCTTATATTTTCCAGTCTTATTTGTCCCACTTCTGTTTAGACATAATTTGAAAGCTGGCTTGGATGTTGTACTTTTCAATTATGTTAATATAATATACTCGTAATGAATGCAATATGAGTTTAAAGTGAGACTTTCAGATCCCATAAGTGCATCCTAAGTGATGACAGGCTTTAAGATAAGGAATATATGCATTTAGTTAAGGCAGAAATCTCATAAAACTTCATTGAAAAACCATGGTCAATCCAATGATGCACTTTTTATGATGAGTTTATCTAGAAATTGGAAGGGTTAAAAGACAACAAAAAACACACACGAAAAACCTCACTTTTAAGTAAATCTGTAACTTGAAAAAAAAGTCTAAGAATATTCTGAGAGTGGTACATAGTTTCATAGTAGCCCACAGTAACTTCCAGTGACTGAAAAATTCCTTTGCATTAGCTCGCATGTGTGGTGAATGGCATTCCCATGAAAAGCTCTTGCACCCTTCTGCCTTCTTCCCACAGGCCTTAGTCTTGTTTCCAAAGGTGATTGTAGTGAGGATGTAAAGTCCATGACCTCTAGGGATAATGCCATCCATTCAGGAAGAAAGACGCTGAGAAATTCTAGGGATATCCTAAGTGCACATGATGAGGTGAGAATCAATTGTGGAGGTTTCAAGAAGACATTTGAATTTTTGCCTGTAATCAAGAAGTATTAGGCTGGGCGCGGTGGCTCACGCCTGTAATCCCAGCACTTTGGGAGGCTGAGGTGGGTGGATCACGAGGTCAAGAGATCGAGACTATGCTGGTCAACATGGTGAAACCCTGTCTCTACTCAAAATACAAAAAATTAGCTGGGCATGGTGGCGCGTGCCTGTAGTCCCAGCTACTTGGGAGGCTGAGGCAGGAGAATTGCTTGAACCCAGGAGGCGGAGGTTGCGGTGAGCCGAGATCGCGCCATTGCACTCCAGCCTGGGTAACAAGAGCGAAACTCAGTCTCAAAAAAATAAAAAAAAAAAAGAAGTATTTGGGGCCGGGCGCAGTGGCTCACGCCTGTAATCCAAGCACTTTGGAGGCCAAGGTGGGTGGATCACCTGAGGTCGGGAGTTCAAGACCAGCCTGACCAACATGGTGAAACTGTCTTTTTATTAAAAAAAAAAAAAAAAAAAAAAAAAAAAAAAAGAAGTAGTATTTTGCCATCTGGTTTACATTCAAGAACTAGTTGGCTCATCATTCGCAGAAATAAACTTTCTTCTAGATTAGGAAACTTCATCATGAGATCTGAGATATACTGGTTTGGAGAGTTTCCTCAGTTTCTCCTGGCTTCGAAGTCCCCGGCCTCGGAGTGGGGTGAGGCTCATTGGAGGCAGATGAATCTGAATAATAACAATAACATGAAGAATCATACTCATAATCATTGCAGCACTCCTATTTACTGAGGATCTACTCAGAAAGTACTATACCCTCTGCTAAGTGCTGTATCTACATTGATTCATTAATCTTTACACGTGTTAATTCGTAATAACCTCATAAGGGATTATTATTCTAATACAGATAAGGAAATGAAACCTCAGAGAAGTTAAATAACTTAAGGTTATATATTAAGAAGGGAAGCCAGAATTTGAACCCAGATCTGTCAGATATCAGAGCTTGTGCTCTTTGCTGTATTGCCCACATACAGGAGAAAAAATGAGCATGGATCACCTAACAAGTTGAGAATCCAAAGATGGGGAGAAAAGTTTGTGTATACAGAGATGTTCTGTGCATAGTGGAAAACTGGGATCATACTAAATGCCTACCAATAGAGGGGCTGGTTAATTATGGCTGGGATGGTTAATTTTTCTTTTTCTTTTTAAGACCCAGTTTCACTGTCACCCAGGCTGGAGTGCAGAGGCGTGACCTCAGAATCACAAATTTAAGTGATTCTTGTGCCTCAGTCTTCCAAGTAGCTGGGATTACAGGTGCCCATCACCACACCCGGCTAATTTTTGTTTTTTTTTTTTTTTTGAGATGGAGTTTTGCTCTTGTTGCCCAGGCTGGAGTGCAATGGCACGATCTCAGCTCATTGCAACCTGTTTCTCAGGTTCAAGCGATTCTCCTGCCTCAGCCTCCTGAGTAGCTGGGATTATAGGCATGCGCCACCATGCCCGGCTAATTTTGTATTTTTAGTAGAGACAGGGTTTCTCCATGTTGGTCAGGCTGGTTTCAAACTCCCAACCTCAGGTGATCTGCCCACCTTGGCCTCCCAAAGTGCTGGGATTACAGGCGTGAGCCACGTGCCAAAATTTTGTGCCCGGCCAGATTTTGTATTTTTAATAGATACAGGGTTTTGCCATGTTGTCCAGGCTGGCCTTCAACTCTTGACCTTAAGTGATCCACCCACCTCAGCTTCCCATAGAACTGGGATTACAGGCATGAGACACTGTGCCTGGCCTAGGATGCTTAATTTTATGTGTCAATTTGATTGGTGATGGGTTGCCCAGATTAAACGTCATTTCTGGGTGTGTCTGTGAGGGTGTTTCTGGATGAGATTAGCATTTAATCAGTGGACTCAGTAAAGCAGACGGCCCTCCCCAATGTGAATGGGCATCATCCAATCCATGGAGGGCCTGAATAGAACAAAGAGGCAGAAGAAGGGGAAGTGGCTCCTGGCCTGTGGACTCAAACTGAGTAACACCATCAGCTTTCTTCTGGGTCTCCAGTTTGCAGATGGCAAATCCTAGGACTTCTCAGCCTCTATAATCACATGCACCAATTCATTATAATAAATCTCCTTTCAGGCATATCTAGATATATCTGTCTAGATATATAAAGAGCCAATTCTTCATAATCTCTTTACATATATATCTAGATATCTCTATATCTACATGTCTCCATTCTATGGGTTCTGTTTCTTCAAAGAACCTGAACTAACACAATGGTACATTCTTACAACAGCATAACAATCCAGTCATTTAAAAAAGATTGGGCTGGGCATAGCAGATCACACCAGTAATCCCAGCACTTTGGGAAGCCAGGGCAGGCAGATCACTTGAGGCCAGGAGTTTGAGACCAGCCTGGCCCACACAGTGAAACCCTGTCACTGCTAAAAATACAAAAATTAACTGGATGTGGTGGTGCACTTGTAATCTGTAATCCCAGCTACTGAGGAGGCTGAGGCAGGTGAATCCCTTGAATCCAGGAAGTGGAGGTTGCAGTGAGCCAAGACTGTGCCACTGCACTCTAGACTGGGTGACAGAGTGAAACTGTCTCAAAAAAAAAGAAAAGAAAAAAGAAAAAAGATTGAGAGAGAGCTACATACAAAGATGTGTAAAAGAGATGATATAAAATAAGTAGACAGTAAAACATTATATCCAGCATCTTATATATGTAAAGAAAATATGTAGGTACATGAGTATAGAAAAAAAGACTAAAAGGGTGTACTACCAAACTAATTAGGTTGAGCCACTACAATATAAAATTGCTGTTTTTGTAGGTAAAAGGGTTGAACATTGGCAATTTTCCATTTAACAGTTAAAGTGGTCACCTTGTATACAATGAGAATTTTTTAAGAATTTGGGGCTGGGTGCAGTAGCTCACACCTGTAATCCTAGCACTTTTGGAGGTCAGGGTGGGCAGAGTGCCTAATCTCAGGAGTTGAAGACTAGCCTGAGCAACATGGTGAAACCCCATCTCTATTAAAATACAAAAAATTAGTTGGGTACAGTGGTGCATGATTGTAGACCCATGTATTCGGGAGGTTGAGGCATGAGAATCACTTGAACCCGGAAGGCGGAGGTTACACTGAGGATATCATGCTGCACTCCAGCCTGGGTGACAGAGTAAGACTCTGTCTCCAAACAACCAAACAAACGAAAAAGAATTTTGGCCAGGCACGGTTGCTCATGCCTGTAATCAGAGCTTTGGGAGGCTGAGGTGGAAGAATTGCTTAAGCACAGGAGTTCAACAACAGCCTGGGCAACACAGTGAGATCCCATCTCCACAAAAAATGAAAACATTACTGGGTGTGGTGGCACATGCTTGTAGTCCCAGTTCCTTGGCGAACTGAGGTGGGAGAATTGCTTTGGCCTGAGAATTCAAGGATGCAGTGAGCCATGACTGCACCACAGCACCCAGCCTGGGTGATAGAGACATTCAGTCTCCATAAATAAATAAATTAAATTTTAAATTTTAAAATTTACTTTGTTGTTTTAAATTTATGGTATGAAAGAATTTGAGAAAGAAAAACATAAATTTATATATATTTATTATTCTAAATTCATATAAATTTGAAAATTAGTTTCTTGACAGACATTCTGAATGTATTAAATTTATTTATATAAATTTATTTTTATTTATTTATTTTTTTGAGACAGGGTCTTGCTCTGTCACCCAGGCTGCAGTACAGTGGTGCAATCATGGGTCACTGCAGCCTCAACCCCCAGTGACTGGGCTGAAGCAATTCTCCCACCTCAGTCCCTCAAGTAGCTGGGACTACAGGAGTGTGTTCCTATGCCCAGCTAATTTTTAAATTTTGTGTAGCAATGGGGTCTCACTGTGTTGCCCAGGCTGGTCTCAAACCTGGGCTCAAGTGATCCTCCTGCCTTGGCCTCCCAAAGTGTTAGGATTATAAGCATATGCTATATTGCCTAGCCTAGGTGAGAATTTGTGACCATTTTTACTTTCTACTTTATGCATTCCTTTCATGTTTGAACTTCATTCATTTTTTTTGTTTTTATTTTTTTTATTATTTTTTTATTTTTAGTAGAGACGGGGTTTCACCATGTTGACCGGGATGGTCTCGATCTCTTGACCTTGTGATCCACCCGTCTTGGCCTCCCAAAGTGCTGGGATTACAGGCTTGAGCCACTGCGCCCGGCTTCATTTTTTTTTAAGTAATAAGTTTAAGCAAGGAACTTTATTCTTTTAGTAACAACAAACCTGCCTTTTATAATTAAAAAACCACATTTCCATAAAAAAGATGAAAATGAAATGAGAAAAGCTCTATAGTGTGAGCTGGTTTTCCCTTCCATATGTGGAAGGCTGTGTAAGTAGGAGACGTCATGCATTCATTGACATTTTACTCTGTTGTGATGGCTGGCAGCATGTGAGGATAGCTTATTTCCAACATGCTTCCCACAGCAGCTCTGGGCTTCTCGGCAAGCACTTGCCCTCTCGTTATACATTCTTGGAAATAACTGTGTTGATGAGGGTCAGTACCCACCACCTGTTAATCAGAGTCACACTTACTGGCCTTGGATAAGGAATCTTGTAATGCAGTCCAATTTCAATCCTGGCTGTGCATTCATCTATACACTGTTTAATTAGGTCTGTGTCCGTAAGCTATTTAAAAGGGAAAAAGAAATGAGGCTGTTAGCATATTTCTAACGGTACATAGAGTATAGGTATACATTTTCTCAAACTTTTTCAGTTCACTAGCCAGTAAATTAAATGTTGCTAATTTGGAAAATCAAAAGCAATTTAATATTAAAGCTTACCATAAACTTTTTGAATCGTTAAAGTAGGTAACACGTATACATGGTAAAGATAACTCAAATAATAAAAAGGATATAACATAAAAGCTATGCTTCCCTCTTACTCTTCTCTTCCAGTTCCTCATCTTAAGATAACAATCAGCAGTTTCTCGTGTGTTCTTGTAGGGGTATTCTATGTATATATGAAAGTGCACGTGTATATAAAAGCTTATTATTTTCTCATGCGAACAATAGCTCCCTTTGTTCTGAACCTTTTCTTTTTCATCAACATAACTTGAAGTTCCCTCTATTTCCATCTATAGAGCTGCACCCTTCTTTTTAACTGCTACACAAAATTCCAGCAGAAGGCTTTATTGTAATTTAACCAATCTCCTACCCATGGATACTGATTTCCAACTTTTTGCTATTATGAGTGATTCTGCTATGGATCCCTCTAAAATTATTTTGCTCCCATGCATATGTTTCTAAAAGATGAATTCCTAGAGAGAACTGCTGGGAAAAAGGGTATAGGTTCATGCATTTTTAAGTCTCATAGATATTCCCAAATTACTCTCTAGAGTTTGCACCAATTTGCATTCCTACCAACAATCTATAAATTATATTCCCACCAACACTGACTGCTTCTTCACACCCTCTTTATGTTGATTAAACTTTAAAGTTACCCAATGGTTTCTGCAAGTGCTGTCCTGAAACCCCTGGAGTAAGACACTGGAGAACGATCTACCCCTGTTAAACTGTCAACTGCCTTGCTCATTAGTAAGGGGAACAAAGGGCTTTTGAAATTCCAAAATTGTCAAATCATAGTATAATCTACTTTCAATCTTTAATTGAAATTAAAGGAATAAAAAATCCATTCTGAAAAACAGCCAAGTAGCAAAAAGGGAGAAACTCATTCTGAGGAAGGAAATGAATCAAGACACGGCTGTGCTGGGAGTTTGCAAGTGGACCTCAAAGGACAGCTAGGATTGCATCAGCACCAGATAACACCCACAGCAAAGTCTGGGTCCATGCGGCTTGAAAATTTCAAGGGCATTCCTGTCCTATGGCACCTCTTAGAGCAGAGAAGAAGAGTTCCAGGAACAGCAATGCGGAGAACCACAGCTGAGTCCCTTGCGGCAGAGGCCCAACTTTCTGACCTCTGTGCTTCTCAGAAGCCATTGATTTGCTGTCTGTGTTGGAAAAGATTTTCACATTCTCATTTGCCCACTGAGATTCAGAGCAGTTCACAGGATACCTCTGGATTATTAAACTCTCAGAGCAATCAAAGTTACAAGAAACTCCGTATGTCTGCATGAGGAAGCAAGAAAAAGCCTTTGACAAAGATATTGGTTAAGGGGGTTGGGGCTTGGGGCTTCAGCTGTGTATCTGAACAAGCTGGGGCTAGCATACTGCAAATTCAGTCATTCACGGGCTGGCTGCATGATTCTGCCATATCCACATACTACATATACTAATGTTAAAATTTTTCATTAAATGAACTCTCTCTTAAGCAATAGTATTTGTGAAAGTGTGGTATAATATTCTCTTTCCTTTCTAACACATACTAAAGCAAGTACATATCTTAAAATTAAAAACCCATGTACCTCTTCTGCCTACTCCCAAATAATCTCATGTACTGTCTGTGGCACATACACTTCCCTCTGGCCCACCCCTCGAGCCAATCCAAGCCAAGGCAAAGGAAGGGTTATTGCAATAACTGAAAACCCATAGTCTGAGTAGTTTCCAGATGAGTTAGCATGCAAAGCTTTATTGGGCATGTACTAGGCCCAACACCACAGGCTGGACAGTGCCTTCAACTATCCAAGTTATTACCTAGGCAGAACAACTCTGATACCTGAAGCTACAGGAAAGGTACAGTGGTATATAATCAATGGATGCAGTGACTGCTACAGACAGCTATAGGAATTCAGAACAGGTGGCCATCATGGGATTGAGGGGGAAGCAAAGAAATTGAAGATTTCCTAGAGGAGGTCAGTTGAATCAAAGTATTTACAGCTGCTCATTCATTTAGTGACATCACAATGAGGTCCTTTGGGATATACTAGAAAAGTATAAGACCTTGTTTATATGTTCAAAAAACTGATAATCTGGTTGGGAAAACCATGGCAACATAAATTAAAATAAAGAAGAAAAATGAGAATATAAACAGCTACTTAGGGATCTCCAAACCTTTTGATCACCTACTCTTTTTTTTTTTTTCTTTTTTTGAGACAGAGTCCTGCTTTGTTGCCCAGGCTGGAGTGCAGTGGCGTGATGTTGGCTCGCTGTAACCTCTGCCTCATGGGTTCAAGTAATTCTTGTGCCTCAGCCTCCCGAGTAGCTGGAACTACAGGCATGCGCCACCATGCCCAGCTAATTTTTGTATTTTTAGTAGAAATGGGATTTCACCATGTAGGCCAGGCTGGTCTTGAATTCCTGACCTCAAGTGATCCACCTACCTTGTCTTCCCAAAGCGCAGGGATTATAAGCGTGATCCACTATGCCTGGCTGATCACCTACTCTTTTTTTGCTTTGAGATGGGGTCTCGTTCTGTCACCCAGGCTGGAGTGTAGTGGCGTGATCTCAGCTCAACTGCAACCTCTGCCTCCTGGGTTCAAGCAATTCTCCTGCCTCAATCTCCCAAGTAGCTGAGACTACAGGCATGTGCCACTGCACCTGGCTAATTTTTGTGTTTTTAGTAGAGATGGGGTTTTACCATGTTTCCCAGGCTGGTCTTGAACTCCTGACCTCAAGTGATCCACCCACCTTGGCCTCCCAAAGTGCTGGGATTACAGACACAAGCCAGTGTGCCTGGCCCACCTATTCTTTTCATTAAAAAATTTCTCAGTCCACAGCCCCTATATATTTATTTACATTAATTTATAAATTTAGTAGTTTATAAATTATATGTATGTACAAACAAGTTCATTGTAACTATGTACCAGATGGACTTGTTACAAAGATGAAAGGAAAGAAGAAATAGAAATAGCAATTGTATTTTATTCCCATTTTAAGGAATTCATGGGGTGAATATACTCTGGTTTGGCAAGCATGGTCTATGCTAAGAGCAGAAAAAGTTTGGGGAAGCTAAGTTTGGAGGAAGGTCAGAAGGATAGAAACTTCATAAGTAAGTCAGCCTTGAAAGGCTAGAGGCATCACAGATTCAGAGAAGGGGAAGTTGCTGCCGATTAAAAGGGTTTCTTTGGTAGCACTTTTTTTTTTTTGAGATGGAGTCTCACTCTGTTGCCCAGGCTGGAGTGGAGTGGTGTTATCTTGGTTCACTGCCACCTCTGCCTTCGGGTTCAAGTGATTCTGCCTCAGCCTCCTGAGCAGCTGGGACTACAGGTGCATGCCACCACACCTGGCTAATTTTTATATTTTTAGTAGAGACAGAGTTTTACCATGTTGGTCAGGCTGGTCTGGAATTCCTGACCTTGGGCCTCCCAAAGTGCTGGGATTTCAGGTGTGAGCCACCATGCCTGGATTTTTTTTTTTTTTTTTTTTTTTTTTTTTTTTAAGAGACAGGGACTCACTATGTTGCCCAGGTTGGTCTTGAACTCCTGGGCTCAACCAATCCTCCAGCCTTGGCCTCCCAAAGTGGTAGGATTACAGGTGTGAGCCACCATGCCCAGTCTTTGTAGCACTTTTCTCAACTGTAATTTTATATTTCTTTCCATTTAACTCTAATTCCTTTGACAGCTCTGCCTTGGTTTGGCTTATGTTTTTCCTCAACACCTAGTCTTGTGTTTGGCACATAGTGGGCAATTGAATATTTGTTGCGTGAGGAATGAGAACAAAGAGTGGCAGAGTGGTGACACGAGCTGTGACACCAATGGGCCAGCGGGGAAGGGGAGGCACTCCTGTAGAAAGATGACTCTGCTTTGGACCATTACGCTGTGGTGAGGTCCTTCAGGTGGCCAAGCATAGACCAAGGCTGAGGATTCAGATGTGACGGCTTAAATCAGAAGGTAGCTGCATGTTGCACAGGCCTCAGCACAGAGGGTCGACTTTGAGAGGACCCCTGCAGCTGGTAGGAGGGCATGTGATGACAGGGCCGAAGACAGACAGTCAGAGGTCAGGGAAGGAAAAGTGGTGAGGGTGGATTGTTAGGAGGTTTCATGAGGGGAGAGTAACAGCGCTGAATCCATTAGGTCAGTGAGGAGGTGGAAGAGAAGTCAGGCAAGAAAGCCTCTTTCCATGCTTAGTGCCAGGCGGTCTTCCCTGAACCTAACAGCTAATGCTTTAGTGCTCGTGGGGGTGGGTCCAGTCTGGCTCCCTGCTGTCTGGGTGTGCATTTCCCTTAAACCAGCTAATGGAGAGAATATTTTACCCAATTCTGTGGTCCCAAAGGGCAACCTCAGTCTGCTAACCAGAGGCCTGAGTTCAAAGCTGTTATGAAGGGAACCCTGTGTCTTAATCCTATTCTCTTCCTTCTAAATGGCTTTATATTTAGAGGCTTTGAATAGTTTATGAATTGGAAAAAAAAAACAAAACACCACTTCCCCACACACCTCCTTTGGGAGTGGCTAGCAATGGGTACAGTATCAGGACTGGCTCCTCCTCTGAAAACTCTCATTGGCCTGACACATGTCACCTGGCTCATAGGGTCTTCAGAGCACAATGAGCCACTTACTGGCTGGTTGGAGACCTGGAAGAAGTGAAGAGAGAAACACAGGCTTCACGGTGGTCAGGTGAGCTAGCCAAGCTGTGCACTGGCCCCTTCCTGCCCCACGTTCTGCCACCACGACTGTGTGGCTCAGCTCTCTCAATTAAGGACCGAAACGAAAGAAACAAATATAAGGAACTCCTCTCCTCTGTGCAATCTCCCAGTGGGGTCTACTTACATTTTTGTTTTTCCGGAACAGCGTTCTGGCTTCATTTAGTATGTACTGTTTTTCTTTGATGGTGTCTTCCATCTGCCCTGATGTCGCCTGCCATTTCCTTGCAAGCCTGAAAATGCTGCGGTAGAGGCCAAGGATTTCTTGTCGTGTTGCCGTTGTCATCTTCAGACCCACCAAAATAGAAGAGGGAAAACCTGCATAAAAATGCAGTTTGACAGGAGGCAGACAAACACATGTACAGTTTTTTAATCAAGACCTTTAATTAGTCTAGAAATAACTGGTCTTTCTCAACAGATCTGTTGGGTAGCACTGCTGCAACCGTGTAATAGAAACACAGTATCTCTCAACTGGCTTGGTAATTCATCCACAGGTTGAAGGTCGCTCGACCACACTGTTTGCCATGGCAAAACCAAAACTCATACTTATTATTCTTTAAACCAGTCCAGTAAAAATATATTACTCACCCAAATGCCTAGGAGAAGGCATATTTTGGATAATGGAATTTAATCCATTGGTTACAAATTCAAGTGCCTCTGCAGCCTGGCAGGTAATATAAATGAAAGGACCTGCTTGGATGGGGACAGTGGCCACCTGGACCGGACATGCCCCCTTGAAAAGGAACAGTTGCTATTCAGCTCCAGTCAGCAGCTGCCATGTAGAAAGAAGTGCCTAGGAATGCCAGATTTCCTGATAGCTTAAAAATAGGTGGCAATCCAGAGTTTAAAAATATGACATCTCAAAAAAAACACACTTAAGTCATTATTTTTGAAAATGTGAGGCTAGGTGTGGTGGCTCACACCTGTAATCCTAGCACTTTGGGAGGCTGAGGCAGGAGAATTACGTGACCTCAGGAGTTCGAGACCAGCCTGGGCAACATGGTGAAACCCTGTCTCTACTAAAATACAAAAAAAAGTTAGCCAGGTGTGGCAGGGTGTGCCTATAGTCCCAGCTACTTGGGAGGCTGAGGTAAGAGACTGCTTGAACCCTGGAGGCAGAGGTTGCAGTGAGGCAAGATCGTGCCATTGCACTCCAGCCTGGGTGACAGAGATTTTTTTTCTTTTTTTTTCCAAAAAGAAAAAAAAATAAAGTGTGAAGACTGTAAAGGCCAAACAAAGTGAGTCTGTAGGCTCAGTTCCACCCAGTGGTTGTCAGGTTGCAACCTTTTAGTTTGTCATAACCTTTTTGGAAACATTTTTCAAAATTGTTGGTCTACTTTTTTTGTTCAGTAAGTATAATTAAAAATCTTTCTGGGCTGGGGGTGTTGGCTTACACCTGTAATCCCAACACTTTGGGAAGCCGAGTCGGGTGGACCACCTGAGGTCAGGAGTTTGAGACCAGCCTGGTCAACATGGTGAAACCCCATCTCTACTAAAAATACAAAAGTTAGCTGGGCATGGTGGCAGGTGCCTGTAATCCCAGCTACTCGGGAGGCTGAGGCAGGAGACTCGTTTGAACCTGGGAGGTAGAGGTTACAGTGAGCTGAGATTGCACCACTGCACTCCAGCCTGGGTGACAGTGACACTATGTAAAAAAAAAAAAAAAAAAAAAAAAGCAAAGATATTAGGACCAATATAATAGACATATTGTTACAACAGACCTTAAAGAATAAATTTTGTATACCGCAGAAACCCGACTGTGCCCCTTCCAAATCATATTCCCCTTCCTCTCCTAAAAGGAATCACCATCCTGAATTATTTTTGTGCATATCTTTACATGTAACATTTATAGTATTGCTTTGCAAGTTTCTTTTATTTATTTATTATTATTATTATTTAAGACCAAGTTTCACTCTTGTTCAGACTCCACAATGGAGTGCCATAGTACAATCTTAGCTCACTGCAACCTCCGCCTCCTGGATTCAAACAATTCTCGTGACTCAGCCTCCCAAGTAGCTGGGATTACAGGTGTGTACCACCATGCCCAGCTAATTTTGTGTTTTTAGTAGAGACGGGTTTCACCATGTTGGTCGGGCTGATCTCAAATTCCTCACCTCAGATGATCCACCTGCCTCAGCCTCCCAAAGTGCTGGGATTAAAGGTGTAAGCCACCACACCCTGCCTGCTTTGCAAGTTTAAAAAAGTTTATAGGTAAGTTCTGCAATTTGCTTTATTTGCCCCTAACATTCATAAGATTCATCTATGTTGTTACACATGGCTCTAGTTCATATATTCTCACTGCTACAATTCAGCCTGCTGTATGAAGACCTCCCAATGTACTGTCTACTTTGCTGATGGATATTAGGTGTTTCCTTTTTAAAAAAATTATTTAAGGCCACATGCAGTGGCTCATGCATGTAATCCCAGCACTCTGGGAGGCTAGGGCAGGCAGATCACTTAAGCTCCGGAGTTTGAGACCCACTTGGGTAACATGGTTTTTTTTTTTTTTTTTTTTTTTTTTTTTTAGATGGAGTTTCGCTCTTGTTACCCAGGCTGGAGTGCAATGGCGCGATCTCGGCTCACCGCAACCTCCGCCTCCTGGGCTCAAGCAATTCTCCTGCCTCAGCCTCCTAAGTAGCTGGGATTATAGGCACGTGCCACCATGCCCAGCTAATTTTTTGCACTTTTAGTAGAGACGGGGTTTCACCATGTTGACCAGGATGGTCTCGATCTCTTGACCTCGTGATCCACCCGCCTCGGCCTCCCAAAGTGCTGGGATTACAGGCTTGAGCCACCGCGCCCGGCTTAACATGGTTTTTATAAAACATTCATTTTGTAAAAAAATTAACCAGGCGTGATGGCACATGCCTGTAGTCCCAGCTACTTGGGAGGCTGAGGTGGGAGGATCGTATGAGCCTGGGAGGCTGAGGCTGCAGTAAGCTGAGATTGCACTACAGGCCAAGATTGAGCCCCTGCACTACAGCCTGGGTGACAGAGTGAGACTCTCAAAAACAAACAAACAAATAAACAAACAAAAAACCCAACAACTTATTTAAAAACTTCAGGCTGGCCCCATTGGCTTATTCCTATAATCCTAGTACTTAGGGAGGCTGAGACGGAAGGCTCACTGGAGGCCAGGAGTCTTGAGACCAGCCTGGGCAATATAAAGAGACCCTATCTCTATAAAAATGAAAAAACAAACAAACAAACAAACACACACACACACAACAACAAACAAAACCAAAAATCTCAGCCCCCACTTTTAAAAAATAACTATTTACAATATTAATAACTAAATAACCAAAATAAATTCAGAGAAGCTAGGAAAAAAAAGAAAGTCCACTACTGGAAGATTCTGATTAGTCAGAGTTAGAATAACGAATATTGTACTGCCTGGAACCAGAAGACAGGCTGGGAAGACAAGAAGGGCAGATTTGGTGAGTAAGTAGCAAGGCCAGGCAGTTGGACACCTCATTCTGAGTTCTGGGTTTTCCTCTAACAGGATCATCAGGATCAGGAAGTAGGCTCCTCACTGCCTGCTGCTTGGGAACATGATCCATTTCCAACTTACAGAGGGAATGGCATAAGGCATGGAGATAATATGTTTTAGGGTAGCCTTGAAATTATGAGACTTTGAACAGCTAAAGAATGCAGACTGGCTGGGCGCAGTGGCTCACGCCAGTAATCCCAGCACTTTGGGAGGCCAAGGTGGGTGAATCACGAGGTCAGGAGTTCAAGGCCAGCCCGGCCAATATGGTGAAACCTTGTCTCTACTAAAAATACAAAAATTAGCTGGGTGTGGTGGTGGGCACCTGTAATCCCAGCTACTCGGGAGGCCGAGGCAGGAGAATCACTTGAACCTGGGAGGCGGAGGCTGCAGTGAGACGAGATCACACCACTGCACTGCACTACAGCCTGGGAAATAGAGCAAGACTCTGTCTCAAAAAAAAAAAAGAATATAGATTGGAGCTGCAAGTGGGCATGTTTACCTCGAAATTCTAAGTACTTGCAAGGAATTCACTTTATAGAGAACTTCTCTTTCCAATATGAGCACTTACCCTGACCCTGATAACCTTTCTTGAGGTTTATTCTTGAGTAAAGAATGAGCCAACTGATGAAAAGATTCAAACACCACTTCATCTAATTCAAAGGTTAAAATGACCAAAGTTATAGCCAATACCAATTCTGAGTCTATGAGGCTGCAAAGAAAAATGCTTACAAGGAATTCATAAAAACCAAGAGAGAACATCATGCTTTGTGGCTTATTGTAATAAAAACCCAGATGAGATTATGACATTTTTCCCGGTAAGGAAACAGGTTTCTGAGTTTCTGGCTCTCCCTAAAACTCCATGGTTTCATATGAAAATACGTGAGTCAGTTCCTGTGAGGAACAGGGAGTCTTTTAACTAACATCTCTTAATGATTGCATCACTTCCCTGTCATTAACAGACTGAACTTCCTTGACGGCAAGACACTTGAGTAAAGTGAAGGAGGTCAGGCATATTCAAACAGCAGCAAAGTTTTTATAGTTGTTTTTGTTTGTTTGTTTGGTTGGTTTGTTTTGTTTTTGAGGCACAGTCTCACTCTGTCACCCAGGCTGGGAGTACAGTGGCATGATCATGGGTCCCTGCACCTTCGACCTCCTAGGCTTGAGTGAGCTTCCCACCTCAGCCTCCAGAGCAGCTGGGACCTCAGGCATGCGCCACTTCAGGTGTGCACCACCACAACCAGCTAAAGCAACCTTCTCTAAAGTCTGATGTTAGTTGGTTTCCTTCCACGGACTCTAAGAACCACAGCTTCAAACTCTGATCCTTTACCATAGTCTGATACACAAGCCCTGCAATTAGCTTAAGGCCCTCAAGGTAATGACCAGTGCTAACAATTGGTACTTAATGCTACCATTTTCAAAACACTTTAATTGGCGTTTAAGTGTTTTGAAAACTAATCCTGAAAGGGATTTAGGTGATACCTCGATTTGCAACATCAGGTGACCCAGAAAACCCGATTCCCAAAGATTTCCTGAGAAGGGTCTGTAACTTAGCCTACCATTTCCTTCCAAGTCTTGAGAGAAACGCAAGAGAAAAATGTTTCTTTTGTTCTTTTTTTACTGGATTTGTTTTAGGTCTTTGACGGGAACCATGTTCTTTCTTGTCTTAGGGGCACGTATCAATGCTGTTTTCTCTTTCTAGAAGGCTTTCCCCGACCCCCTCCCTTTTACCTGACCAACACTATTCATCCTTCAGTTCCCAGTGAAAATACGGGTGTCTCAGAAGATTCTCCCCGGCTTCACCCACATTCCTGGCTGGGGCTCTCCGTTG